TGGGATACTGCCGCAGCATGGCTTGACGAGTGGTGCTAGGTCCATCTCCAGGATCTGAACCCGTGAACCCTGGGGAGCCAAAGCGGAGTGCGCTGAACTTAACCACTATGTTACTGGGCCTGTCCCATATTCCCCAGATATCTTGATATTTATTTCTAATGAAATTAATTTTGGCTAAAGAACATACTCTGTATGTTTTAAGTCTTTGAAATTTATTGTTGCTTATTTTATGTCTCAACATGTGATCTATGCTAGTGAATGTATCATAAGCACTTAAAAAATATATGTATTCTGTGCTTGCTGGTTATGGTGTTCTGTAAACGTCAATTAGGTCAAGGTGGTTGATAGTGTTGTTTTTTATATTTTCAAGAGACTAAGAGAAAAAAGAGAGTCTTTTCTTTTTCCCAGTGTATTAATCATTTCCAGAGCTATGCATTCCTACATGAAGATTTAAGTTTCTGTCTGGTATGATTTCTTTCAACCAGAAGAAAACCTTTTAGTGTTTTTGTGTTTTTAGTGAAGTTCTGTTTGAAACAAACTATGTTAGTTTTATTTTATGTGAAAGTATCTTTTCTTTTTTTTCCCTGAAGAATATTTTCACTGGTGTAGAGTTCTGAGTTAACAGGTTATTTTCTTATGGTGCTTAAAAAATGTCATTTCATTGTCTTCTGACCTCCATTGTTTTTGATGATAAATTAGAAACACATTTACTGGTCATTCTTATAACTTCCCTTGTATGTAATGTGTCATTTTTCTCTGGCTGCTCTCAAGATTTTCTGCTTATCTTTGGTTTTTGTCAGTTTGATTAGGTGTGGCTTTATTTATATATATCCTGCTTGGGGTTCACCAAGTTTATTGAATCTATAAATTCATGTCTGTTTCCAAATTTTGGAAAGCTTTGGGCCTATCTCTTCATATATTTTTTTCTGCCCTGTTCTCTCTTTCCTGTCCTTCTGGGATCCAGTTAACATGTCTGTGTGATTACTTGGATACTGTTCACAAATCTCAGAATCTGTGAGAGGTGACCTTCGGAAGAACGCTGTGAAATAGCTTTTCCTTTTCTCTTTTACACATGAGCACACTAAAGCAGACAGAGGTTTAGTGACCTGTCCAAGTTTGCACAGGCAATTAAGTGATGCAATCAAAACTAAAAATTAACCCTTCTATTATAACCCATTGTATTAATTTAGAATCTATTAATCCATACTGATATGAAATGGGCACATAGATAATTGGGGGCAGGGAGAGATGGGAAAGCTGTTCTTTACTGTGGAATGTCAACTAATAAATGTAAGAGAAAGAATGGAGTTTGAAAACATCATTTGCAATCACAGCAGTAATATTTGATACAGGCGGGAATCATTAATGAATGCTAAAACTAATGAGTGAACGTTTGTTGAAGAACAGGATAGTTACATAGTTTCAACGTATCTCCCCTCAAGTTCCTTCTCAACTATAATGGAAAACAGTGACTTGGTAGTGGAAATACCTGGCCGACACTGCCTTAACCCAGTGATCAAGTTGATATCACCCACAATGGGCTTCCTGATGTGATGCTCTGAGAAGGATACAACATCCCTTCTGCAATATTCCTTCCAAAAATGCATAACTTGAATCTAATTACAAGAAAATATTCAATACACCCAAGTTGAGAACTTTCTACAAAATAAAGGGCCTGTCCTCTACAAAATACCAAGATCATTAAAAAGAAATAAAATCTGAGAAACTAGTCCAGATTAAAGGGGACTAAAGATATATGACTACTGAGTGCAATATGTATTCTTGATTTAGATCCTGGACTGGAAAAAATGCGGATAAATTATATGATTGTGACAATTTAGGACATTTGAATAGGGATGGTAGTATTGAGTCAATGTTAATTTTCCTCATTTTGATTATTGTGCTCTGAGTATGAAAGAAAAGGTCCTTGTTCTTAGGAAACAGACACTAAAATTTTTGTAAGTAACAGGGCAGAGATATCTACAATTTACTTTCAAATCATTATATGCAGAAAATGTGGCAAAATGTTGCCAGTTGGCAAATCTGGGAAAGGGTATATAGGATTTTTTTGTACTATACCTGCATGTTTTCTCTAAGTTTGAAATTGTTTCAAAATAAAAATTGCAAGAAAACAAGTTATTTTGACTTCAACACATCATAATCTATTTAGTGTTGTCTCTAACAGTCAAACTTTAATGGTTATTTCTCCATGAATGTTTTGACTCTTTTTTGAAATGATTTGTTTCAAGTCTCCAGGTAGTAGGATATTCTTAATGTTATTAGCTTCTATTTGAAGACTTTCCTAAACGATATCTTTCAAGTTCAGAAAACTCTTCAAGTCTAGGGATTCTGAGATTTGGAGAAAAAAACTCAGTGTAACTTATACCACAAACATTGGCCGACAATGTAAGAATAATAAGGCAAAGAGAGGGAGAAACACCTTTATTTTTCTTTCACTTGGAAGAGCTCCCCATTCCTGCTGCTCTTTCCATGTCCCTGGGCCTGGGGGAAGGATGGATCCTTTGGACTATGAGAGAAAAATGATGATGTGGAAACATCTTCCTTCATCACCTCCTCCAACCCTTTAACTTTTCCTCTGGCTGTGTTCATCCTTCGTCCCCAACTGCTGGCCCAGGAGTCTTCCCTTCCTCCAACATCAGCTAGAGCCCAGCCTCTCCCCTAGAGCTGCTCCTCAGTGGCCAGGTAGCCATTCCTACCACAGGAGGGCAGAAGAGGGGGAGAGAGGTCAGAGCCTAGGGCTGCGGGAAAAGGAACAGCAGGAATGAAGGAGGTTAGAGAGAGAAGGACTTCTGAATGAGGGTGAGATGTGAGTGATCAGGGGATGACTGGGGACATTCCAGTCATCTCCATTTAGGAGGGAAGAGAGGGCCTTGAGTACAGGGCCAGAGAGCAGGGGAAGGGTCTGGATGAGATTCGCCCTCACTGTCACCTCTGTCCCCTGACAGCACCTCACCACAGGTCACACCAAGGGGGCCCTTCAGGCTCTACCAGGCGGATGTATCTTGGCTCCTTTCCAGAGAGGACCCCCGTGGTCGCCCAGTCCTGGTGTATCTTGTCCCCCAGGTCAGGTCCCCCAGAGTCTTGAGTCCACAGTTAGTTTAGAATTATGTTGGCTGGTGAGAATTCAAATGCTGTGCATCAGAGGGTTGTCCAGTTGGGTCACCACAACCCTGGAGGCACTAGATTTGAGAAAGAAAGAGCACATGGGCAGGGTGGGGACAGGACTCACCACAGCTTCTCTTCCTTCCCAGCATTCATGCCAAGAAGCCCCAGGAGGTGACCTGGCCACGGGATACAGAAACACAGATCCCCCTTCCCTCCCAGGAAGTCATGGCTTCGGTTGCCTTCATTCTCACTGCAGCTGTAGAGCCCATCCCCGTGTGAGCCAGGTGTGTGCAGAGGGCGATCCTGGAACACTCTCCCCCACTTAACTGCCTGGCTCAGCTCCTCACCTCTTTCAAGATTTGTTCAAATGTCACCTATGTAATCACCCCTTTTCAAATTGTCACTGGTTCTTGGAAACCTCCCTCCCACCTATTTTTCTTCTCTGTATCCTGTACCGCTTTCTGGTCTACCTACTGTATTATCACCTGAGACGGAGACCTGAAGTCTTTCAGATCTGGATTTGGGGCTGAAATAAGAGGGGTCACTTTCCCTGTGTGTGGTTTGGGAGTCATGTTTCTGTGGATGCTTTTGGCTTCCTTACTGACTGGTCCTGGGCACCCGAGCCCCGCCACCAGCAAGCCCGGCAGTGCCACCCAGCACTCACAGTCCAGTCAGGTGCACACCACAGACAAGAAGCACCTGACCACCAGCTCCAGCCTCGCAGCGTCCCAGTCCCGAGTTGCAGGATTGTAAGCAGTGAAGTCCTCCCTGTCTACCCGGAGTACCAGAATCTACAGCTGTTCCCCAGGTCATAGCCAGGGCGCAGCTGCAGGATGTGGGGTACTGGGGTGCCCTCCCCTGGCCTGACCCCCAAACCCTTGGGTCAGTTGTCAGAGTAGATGATACTTGGGGCTTGACTTCAGGGGTTGGGGTGTAAGAAAGCGGGGCCTGGGAAGATCCAGAATAAAGTTCTTGTTCATCAGAGAGGAAGGAAAGAAGTAGGATACCTGGGTCCTAGGGTCTCAAGAGTGGGGAGGGCCCACGGCTGCCCTAGGAGTGCTGCTGGTTGAATGAAAGAATTCCTGAGATCTAGGGGAGAGGAAGCTTTCACTCTTGGAATCCAGAGCAACGGGGTCAGATGGCTGGGCCAGGCTCACCTGAGTTCCTTGTGGCCCAGGATGGTCTTCAGACCCCAAGCTAAGTCCTGGGAGGGACCTTCCAGGAACACAGTCTCCTTGGCTGCCAGCAGCAAGACCACCTCCCTGACCAAGGTCCTGGGATCTCTTGTTCTGGGAGGGCAGCTCCTGCTTCATAGGCAACAAAGAAGAGGCAGTCCAGGTAGCCAAGGGCTGTCACCACAGGCCTCCCAGGGCTGAACTGAGACTTGCCTGTGAGGTCACAGCGCAGGGAGTGGGTCCCTGCAACATCCTGGGCTGGACCCCTTAGCACCTGCCCTTAGCTCTTCTTCCAGCACCACAGAAACTCCCTTGTGCCTGTCTACTAAGGTCTGGTTTTTACTCACTCTTCACTTATAACACCAAATGTGTGGGTTTTCCTGCACCAAGAAAATCTCTAATTCTCTGTGGACACAAAATGGGTTCAATTCAGTTCTGACACTAACCACCAGAGTTAGTGCAGATTCACAGGTTCAGGGCTCAAACCCACAAGACTGCCCCCCCCCCACATCAGATAGGAGTCACAAGTAGGAGGATTAGCATGTCTCCAATCGTAGCAGAAACCTGTATTAAGTACTCTTATTTTTCTTTTGAGGAAGATTAACCCTGAGCTAACATCTGCTGCCAATCCTCTTCTTTTTGCTGAGGAAGATTGGCCCCGAGGCAACATCTGTGCCCATCTTCCTGTCCTTGATGTGTGGGATGACTGTCACAGCATGGCTTGATAAGTGGTGCATGGGTCCATGCCCAGGATCCAAACAGGCGAACCCCGGGCCGCCAAAGCAGAGTGCGTGAGCTTAACTGCTACATCACGATGCAGGCCCCTGTATTAAGTACTCTTATTGAGGAAACCACATGTGTGATTTGAGAGAGAATGGTGGAGAAATTCCCTTAAATGAAATTCTTTTAAATGAGACTATAAATGTCTTTTGGGGGGCTGAGTATGAGCAATGTGGGAACTGCTCTTCTGTTCCAGGGCTGGCACAGATAGGTACTCAATAAATAAAAAGCTCAATAAATAAACTGCAAAATATAAAGCCCTTGAAGGGTTTAAATAAGTTTGTAAAAGTGTCAAAATAACTTGGGCTGTTAGGTTCTTAAATTTCTTTGTTTCTTCTTGTGTTACTCACTGAAGAGAAGCGTTTCATCACTGTACCTGTTGTGTGGTTTATTATCACTAAAGACTGCTTTCTAGAATACAGTAGGTTGCTTTTGTTTGATGTTTTGATGAGCAGGAATACTGGTCATGGATTTTCTAGACCTCGGTTCTAAATTTTACCACTTCTTCATGAGGTGTCCTCATCCTTGTCTCCTAACATATCTGGTAATTTCAGTTACCGTTCTCTGCATCTTCTCTGTAACATGTCTGCTGAGGAAAAATCAGAGCCGAGAGAGAGAAGCTAAGTTACATTTAGAGCAGAAGGGAAAATATGTGATGGGGACGAAGAGAGACTAAGAGGAATTCCTTTAGAAGAGTGTAATCACTGAAAACTCCTCTCTCGCATGTAATCTCTCTCACGCACCCATAGAGCCTGAAGAGACCCTTGGGGGTCATGGGCATCACTGGGTTCCCTGACAGTTTATCTGGAGTCACAGCATGCAAGCAAGGTAAGACTTAACAGCACCATGACAAAGCCATGCCTAGGAGCACTTGTTCCTCCAAGGGCCAGGCCCCTTCACGCACATGCACACACACACACACACACACACACAGGTGGTGATCTTTGTGAAGCCTGTGCATTGCCCTGGCCCAGCTCCTGGTGGAGGAGAACTTCCAAGCCATTGCCATCCAGCAAGGGATGCCCCAGGAGGAGAGGTGAGTCAGAGATGGGGAAGACGTTTTGTGTCCTTGGGAGGAAAAGACGCCACTGAGAGAAGGATCTCAACATTTTTATAATTTCATTTCTCATGAAGGCTTTCTTGGTATCAGCAATTTAAAGGCTTTCAACAATGAATTCTTGTGGCTACCAACCTATTCAGTGGAGGCATGAACATCGAGAGGGTGAACATTGCCTTTAACTACGACATGCCTGAGGATTCTGACACCTACCTGCATCGTGTAAGCCCCACACTGAGAAGGACATCCCAGTGTCCTCTCCCACTCCCTTATTTTCTCTATCTTTTCATACCTTATATGTTCATCCCTCCTTTTGGGTGTCTTCCCAATTTTAAGTCTCCAGTTCTACCCTTTGTCTCCTTCCAGGTGGCCAGAGCAGGCTGGTTTGACACCAAGGGCTTGGCCATCACATTTATGTCACATGAGAATGATGCCAAGATCCTCATTGATGTGCAGGATCGCTTTGAGGTCAGTATTAGTGAGCTGCCTGATGAGATAAACATCTCCTCCTACAGTGAGTACTGAAACTGGCTCCCCCAACTCTTTAGACCCCCTTGTTCTTTAGTGTGTTTGTTATAAATCCTATTATGTACATAAAGCCTCTGCTGCATAATGGACACTTGACAAGTTCATGCCCCCTTGGTCTTGATGTCCCGTTGGAATGTTAGTTGACCTGTATATGGGGTCTCTTTCTTCTCTTGTCAAATTATTTTTTCCCATTCTCAAGTCTATCCTCTGAACCCACACACCACATAAACATCTGCATGTAAGGATGTGTGTGTTTCTGCCACCTTCGCTTTTTTTTTCTGTGTCTTAGTCTAACTGCTATGTTTCCACTTCAGTTGAACAGATGCAGTAGAGGACTTACCCACCTATTCTGGAATGTGACAGTCTGTCCGTCTTCAGGAGGTGACACCAGGCATGGGGGTAAAGGAGACACTACTGCCACCTACCCTTGACAACTCCCAACCCCCACGCCATGGCTTCCCTCTTTTGCATCACCACCACTCCTAAACCTCCATTTCCTGATTTGTCAGAACTTTTTTTCAACAAAACTAAAAAACACATGCGTCTGTGATGTTTGTAAACACTCCGTCCCTTTACTGGATTTGGGGTGAGGTTGTTTTAGGCTATGATCCAGGGTATATTCCTGTAAGGACTGTGTGTCCTGCTGTGGGGCAGAGGTCAGTGGGAGGGGTCAAAGTGGGGGATGTGACTAAAGAGACTGCAGAGACCATGACTTCCCACTACTTTCGAATTTCTGGCCCTTTGTAGAGGTGTCTTCCATTTTTCTGAGAGGCCTGGGAGAGGCTGGGATGTTTCTGATTGAGGAGCTCAGGGGGCTGGTGTGTAATATTTCCATTGTTGGAGGGTGAAGTGGGAACTGGAGGAAAGCTTAGGCGTCTCCTCCCAGGCTCTCTCTGTGTCTCCTCATCTCTTCCTTGAGCTTCTGGGTCTTGAGCACCAGGGCGTGGGCTTCCCAGGCCCCTTGTTGCCCTTCCAGTAGGGCCTGGGACAGCTCCAGCTACTGCTCCAGCAATTCCTCAGCTGGGGCCAGCTCAGCTGGGGACCTTGGCTGAGGGGTGCATTGGGGAGGGAGCATCAGGCAGGGCAGGGGGCTCAGGCTCACTGGAAGTCAGGAATTATGCCTCGTCCATTTTTCTTCTTTTTTTGAGGAAGGTTAGCCCTGAGCTAACATCTGTCGCCAATCCTCCTCTTTTTGCTGAGGAAGATAGGCCCTGAGGTAACATCCATGCCCATCTTCCTCTATTTTATATATGGGAAGCCTGTGACAGCACGGCTTGACAACTGTGCCTAGGTCCGCACCCGGGATCCGAACTGGAAAACTCCAGTCCACCGAAGCAGAACCGCTGCACCACTGGGTTGGCCCCATTCCTCTCTCATTTTTTGACCCTATTTAAGGTCATGTGTACCATGCAGCCAAGCTAGCTTCCTATCTTAGGTACAGGCCTCTGGGGGACAGAAATCACTGGCCCAGGGACTATGACTGGCCTTGTAAAAGGATATGGGGTCATGGAAAGGAGAAGACTGCTGTCCCTAACCCCTAAGAAACAATGAACTCTTAGATGGGGACTCTTCATGGACTGTGCAAGGAAAGAGGGACATGGAGAGAGGGAACCCTGAGGTCTGGAGTGGGGTGGGGGTGGGGAAGGTGGTGGGGAGCTGAGAATTGGAATTAGGCAACAAATTCCAGGTGTGTGTGGGGGGGTGTTATCTGCAGAACAGTGATGCAGGATGAGGTTGAGGGGATCCCCCCGCAGTGTGAATCCCCCCTCATACCTGCCACCACTCCCATTGGTTGCACTTACCCTGGAGGGTGGCCACATCTTCCCACTGTCTGTGGATCTGGTCTGCTCTTTCATACTTGCCTTGGGGCTCTGTGAGCAGCACCTCCAGGAGCCCCTGGTGTCAGGAGCCAGGAAGGCAGATGGAGGTGACAGCAGCATCGTAAGAATCAGGACAGGGGGAGACCCATGGCATGTGAAGCAGGGAGCTATCTGAGCAACCTAACAGCCACCAGGGACTGCCTTACTCTGGCCTTGGCCTTACTTCAGTGCCTGGCCTTGCCCCTGCCCGCCTCTGCTGCCCTCATGTCCCTCCCTGTCTGGCCCCAGACAGAGTCCAGGAACTCATCCTGTTCCTGATGTGAAAATGTTCCTGCCAGTTTAGGCAGAACTTGCTTTAGAACACTGGTGCCCAGCCTACCATGTGGTTGGTGTCTTCGCACTATGTCTTTTCTCACTTATTCCTCTCGATTATGCAACATAGGAATTATGTTACTGGTTTGCAGATGAGGAAAATGGCTCAGAGGGTTTCATTCAGTAGGTATCTGTTGGGACCCACTCCGGGCCAGATGTGCTCAAGGCTCCACAGCTGGTTGATGGAAAAGCCTGGAGGACTCAGTTCCAGATCTACCTGACTTGAAAACTCATACCCATTGACCTGACTCAAGTATTGATTTCCCCTTTGCTTCTCTTTCCCTTCTTGCTGGCTCAGGATGACCTCTTTTCTCTTGTCCCTGTTGTGCATTGCAAGGTTTGCTTTCTCTGGCAGGTCTGGGCACTGTTGTATCACTTGTACCCTTGGCTCCTGACAGAGCATGACACTGGTACAGGTTTCAAGCTTTGTTGAACTAGTGAGCCCTCCATACAAATCTCCTCCACTAGAGCAAAAGTCCTTCCACACACTGGGTGTGTGTGATCCTTGTGCATATGTGTTGGGCTTCCCACAGTGTGTTCTGCAACATAGTCCTGTTGTGGCTGGAGGGCACAGCCACACCCCTATGGGCAGAGGTGACTCAGAAGGGAGTGGATGGTCCCAGTTTTGATCATCTTGGAAAAGGTAGGTCTTCAGAGAGAAAGACATGCCTCAGAAGACAAGATTGCCAGGGAGTGGACAGCTGCTAACCAGCTTGATATCTTTAGGACATCATGCTGAATTTGGAGGGAAGATGGCCTCTGCCATGGTATAGTGGTCCAGGAACCAAGATAAGACCTTCCTAGAGGTCAGTGGTTCTCAAATTTGAGCAGCTGAAGTACCTTTAATGAGGCTAAAGACGTTCCTCATTAGCTGGCGTGTTCCTACTCTTCAGTGGAAAAAGAACCAAGAACCCCTTGAAGATTTAGGGGGAGAGACGCTTTCCCTCATGTCTTTTAGTGATAGGTTATGCATGATTCATATTTGAATTGCAACATATGCACGGCTTAAAGTCTTGGTTATTGGAACATAAGAGTTGTTAAACTACTTATGTAAACTACTGTTGTTAAAGAGAAATGAAACCATCCAGCATAGGGTTAAACAACCCACAAGCAGCCAACATTGAAGCTAAACCAACCACATTTACAAATTAAAAGCGAAATTAGCAGCTATTAAGAAAATAAAACAAATGAAACTTCTGAAAGACCAACTAAATGGTGTATTAAGAAAAAAGTATCCTTCCTGAGAACTAGACATTTCAACCATCCGAGTCTTCACTTAGGTTATGAACTCCAAAATGAATCAAACTCCAATAATTCACAGGATGAATTTCTAAGCCATAAGTTAAAATAAAGTCTGGATTTGACTTTGTCCATCTTGGAGAACTAAAGAAAGGGCTGGTGTTTTGGTAAATTCAAATCTCTTGGATGAGCTGTGGATCTCACAATCATGGAAATGAAGGAATGAAGATAAATATATGTAAACCAATTACCTACTTTGATGTAAGTATATATATTTATTCCTGAGTGTCTAACAGAGTCTTTTTCTTTATGTTGAAAGGCTTTGTTTATACCTTATAGAGTCTTAATCAAATGAGAGTTCTGGCCTGGGCTCTGCAGGAGGGGCCTGTGTTCAGCCAGGGACAAGCAGAGGATTATGGGAAGCATCATTCACAAAGTCAAGGGGCTGCAGAGCTCCCTGAGGCTAGTGCGCTGATGGCACCTTCAATATCGCATCCTACCTAGGGGATTGGCAGGACTAGGGTCACTGACACGAATCATTGTACCCTTCGTGTGAAACTCTTGTGGAGATGGGGACTTAGGAATATTGAAGTCTACCCATTACATTAATGTGAGAGCTTGTTAAGTGTCAGAGACTCTGCTGGGTACTTTTTGTTCCTGTCATAGGTGACCTTCATGGTAACCTTTCAAGAGAGCTTCCTTATTTCACTTTTATGTGTAGATTTCCAGTTGTTCCAGCACCGTTTATTGAAAAGACTATTGTTTCTCCAATGTATGGCCTTTGCTTCCTTGTAAAAAATCAGTTCCTTATCAAAATCAGACCCACACAAATATTTATGTGAGTCTGTTTCTGGGTTCTCTATTCTGTTCCATTGATCTACTTGTCTATTCTTTCACCAACACTACACTGTCTTGGTTACTGTAGCTTTATGGTAAGTCTTGAAGTCAGGCTGTGTGAGTCCTCTGACTCTGCTGTCTCATGGTGTGCTGGTTCTTTTGCCCCTCCATATAAACTTTAGAATCAGTTTGTCAATATTCTTGCTGGGATATTGATAATATCAGCTGTCAATATAAAAAATAACTTGCTGGGATTTTAATTGGGATCGTGTTGAATCTATAGATCAAGTTGAGAAGAAGTGAGATCTTGACAAGATTGATTTTGCTATCCGTGACCATGGAATATTATTTCCAGTTGTTTAGTTTGTTGATTTCTTTCATCAAAGTTTTGTAGTTTTCCTCGTATAGATCTTGTACATATTTTGTTAGATTTATAACTAAGTATTTAATTTTTTGTGTGCTAATGGAAATAGTATTGTGTTTTTTCCAGGGAAGGGAAAGGCATCGGAAGTGCTGGCCTACGGGACACCTGTGGGGTTGTGTTTGGAGAGGGTTTTCTGGGTCCTAGGCTATAGAGAGCAAAGGGCAGGCACTGTGCCGCCCCTGTAGGGACCAGGGTTTCCTGGGTTTTCCTGGCTCCCACTCCCTGTGCTAGGACATCACAGGAATGCCTGAGCCCAGCCCAGAGCAGCCAGTTGTTACAGCCTTCAGTTGTCCCTTCCTCCCCTATGACAACCACAGCATTCGAACCAGGCCAAGGGGCCCCTGAGGACCATGTATGGAACATGTGGTGGGGCTGGACACCATTGTGAGCTACAAGGACCTCCGAAATAGGACCCAGGCAACCAAATACCCATTTCCTGGTAGCAGTCTCTGCACCCTCAGTAGTTCACTGCCCAAGGACCCTGGGATCCCGTCCCTTTCCTCTCTGGTGACCCAAGCACCCAGATCCTCAGACTAGATTCCTTCCACCCTGCTCTCTGCTACCCCAACCCCTGAGCTTACAAGAATTCTACTAACAGTCTGTGGATAAGTTTGGGAAAGGATCCTGAGCTCAAGATGAGAAGACAGCTTTGTGAGATTCTGAATAGAGAATCTACCCACACCATGCCTGGCTTTCTGACTAAGGAACTGTAAGCAAATGAATGGGTTTTGTTTTGAGTCACATAGTCACAGCAATTTGTTATACAGTAATAGAAAACTAATACACGGGCTCACTGTGCCACAAATAAGCTCATAGCAGTTTTCCATGGAAATGAATTTATGAACTGATATGTATACTAGTTGCATAAAATAAAATCTTAACCATTTTTGTATTTTTCATTTTATGACTTTTACCTAATGCAATTACATTTTAATACAATCACATTTCATTCATTCAACAACAACTAATTTAATCCCTAGAATGTACCAGGAATGGCTTTAGATACCCGGCATACAACTTTGACTAAATATCCCAAAGCCCCTGTGCTCATGTGTGTTACATTCGAGAGGCTTCCCGAGAGTGAGATGGAGCCATTGGAGTGTTTTAGTGGAGAACTGACACAACCTGACTCACATTGGCAGGATCCCTGACCTGTGGGGAGAAGACCCCATGGGTGGCAGGTGAGAGGGTGGTGCTGGTGCCACAATTCAGGAGTGAGAGGGTGGTGGAGACTAAGGGGAGAAGAGGGCCTGAGGGGTGAGAGGACAGAGAGAAGGGCTGGAGGAGCAGGGGTGGGGAGAAGAAGCAGAGGGAAGGAATTCTAAAGCAGTGGAGTCCTCAGATTTAAACATATTGTTTCATGGAACTTTAATACATATATCTACAAGCCTAGCAGGGTATTCTTTGCATTGATATTTACTACCTTCTGTGGGGCTGCCTAAAAATGAATTGCCTTGTTAAGTTAATCAGTTTAAAAAATAAGAGTCCCCATAAAAAATGCACACTGCTTAGATGTGAATAATTCACAAAAATGTTACCACCTACAAACATAGGTTCTTTACCTATGAGGTAAAATAAAAACGGAAACGCCAGGCTTATGGCAAGGAAAGGGTCTTTATTTCGGGTGACATCAGCCAGGAGACGAAGAATGAGCCCTCAAATTTGTTTCGTGCCATCTCATCTCCCTGAAAGAGGGGAGGTGAGGGGTTTTAAAAGTAAGAGGAGGAGAAGGGGCTGAGCCCAGCCTGGGGGTCTCTCCCTGGTTTCCTCAGACAGCCCCCAGGCCAGGACTCAGGGAGACCGGGCGACAAAGAGCTCTCGGTGCAGGAGGAGAGGGGTCAGCGCAGAGTCCCAGGTCCCCGGACGTGGCTCTCGGGGTCTCAGACCCGAGGGCGGAGTCTGGGGTAGAGAAGCTCTGTGTTGCGGATCCATGAGATTCATGCATGTCTTCCTCTCACAAACTGCGTCAGCTCCTCCTCTGCCTGGAGACTCATGACATGACCTCAGTTCTCACTCCCATTGCGTGTCGGGTTTGTAGAGAAGTTCATCAGCGTCACCGCCATTTGTGGCCTGGACTCAGATTCTCCCCAGACCCCGAGGATGCGGGGGAAGGGGCCCCCAACCTTCCTCCTGCTGCTCTCGGGGGCCCTGACCCTGACCGAGAACTGGGCAGGCGAGTGCGGGTCGGGAGGAAACGGCCTCTGCGGGGGGCGGAGCGAGGGGACCGCGCGGCAGGGGCGCAGGACCCCCGGGGAAGGCGCGTCTCCTGGGACGCAGCCCAGACCTCCCAACCGGGTCCCATCTTGACCCCTCCCTTTTCTCGCCCCCTCCTCTCACCCACTGGGGTCTCCCATCTCCCCTTTTCCGTCTCACGGCCCCCTAGTCTCCTCCCCGCTCCCGGCCCCATCACCCTCGGATCCGGACCCGCGCCGGGAAGCGGATCGGCCGGGTCTCAGCCCCTCCCCGCCCCCAGGCTCCCACTCCCTGAGGTATTTCTACACCGCCGTGTCCCGGCCCGGCCGCGGGGAGCCCCGCTTCATCGCCGTCGGCTACGTGGACGACACGCAGTTCGTGCGGTTCGACAGCGACGCCGCGACTCCGAGGATGGAGCCGCGGGCGCCGTGGGTGGAGCAGGCGGGACCGGAGTATTGGGAAGAGCAGACGCGGGGCATCAAGGACACTGCACAGAGTTTCCGAGTGGGCCTGAACAACCTGCACAGCTACTACAACCAGAGCGAGGCCGGTGAGCGACGAGAGGGCCCGGGTCCAGGTGACGTCCCCCCATTCCCACGGACGGGCCGGGGTCTCCCCGAGTCTGCGCGTCTGAAATTCATCCCTATGTTGCGGGACCCGCCCGGCTCCCGACCCAGGAAGGGTGGGCAGGGACTTTTCTCCATTTTATTTTCAGTTTCGGTTTCCTCGGTGGGGACGGGGCTAACTTCAGGGGCCGGGTCAGGGTCTCACACCCTCCAGGAAATGTATGGCTGCGACATGGGGCCGGACGGGCGCCTCCTCCGCGGGTACAGTCAGTACGCTTACGACGGCGACGATTACATCGCCCTGAACGAGGACCTGCGCTCCTGGACCGCGGCGGACACGGCGGCTCAGATCACCCGGCGCAAGTGGGAGGCGGCCGGTGAGGCGGAGATCTACAGAAACTACCTGGAGGGCAGGTGCGTAGAGTGGCTCCTCAGATACCTGGAGATCGGGAAGGAGACGCTGCAGCGCGCAGGTACGAGGGGCCGGGGCCGCGGGACTCCTGATCTCCCTCCGGGCTGGGGGCCTCCTTCGCGGAGCGGAGGACAATGGAATGACGCTTGAATACGCCCATCTCGTGGGTCTGGAGACTGAGTCTCCCTGAGTTTTCAGATCTAGTATCAGAGCGTGACTGGGCCAGAGGGCCTCCTTTCTCTCAGGGTCAGTTAAGGGAGGCAGTCTCTCTGGAATGGAGGGGGAAAGCCATCCCTGAAATAACTGGCAGTTAGTTTCCTTTGACTGGTAGTGGGTCCAGGAACAATGGGGACTTTCTCTCCAGGCCTTGTTCTCTGCTCCATACCCAATGTGTTTGAGGGCTGACTCCAGCTTTCCTGAGTCACTCAGTCTCCACTCAGGTCAGGATCAGAAATCCCTTTTCTACCCCTCAGAAACTTGCCTCTTACCTGGGGTGTCTCAACCTGATTCTTGAATTTTCCAAAAAATGGAGATTATTTCAGAAGGCTGCGTCCAGGCTGGTGTCTGGGTTTTGTGTTCCCTTCCCTCACTCCAGTTGTTCTGTCCATTCTCAGGGTGGTCACATGACCACTGCTTCAGTGGCCCACACAGATGCAAAGTTGCTGAATTTTCTGATCCTTCTCCTTAGAACCTCCAAAGACATATGTGACCCACCACCCCATCTCTGACCGTGAGGTCACCCTGAGGTGCTGGGCCCTGGGCTTCTACCCTGCGGAGATCACCCTGACCTGGCAGCGTGATGGGGAGGACCTGACCCAGGACAAAGAGCTTGTGGAGACCAGGCCTGCAGGGGATGGAACTTTCCAGAAGTGGGCTGCTGTGGTGGTGCCTTCTGGAGAGGAGCAGAGATACACGTGCCATGTGCAGCACGAGGGGCTGCCTGAGCCTGTGACCCTGAGATGGGGTAAGGAGGGAGGCGTGGGCTCAGAGCCTCTTCTCAGGGAAATCAGGAGCCTTTCTGGAGACCTTCAGCAGGGTCAGGGCTGAGAGCTGGGGTCAGGGCCCTCACCTTCCCTTTTCTTACCAGAACGGCTGCCTCAGCCCACCATCCCCATTGTGGGCATCGTTGCTGGTCTGGTTCTCTTTGTGGTCACTGGAGCTGTGATGGCTGGAGCTGTGATCTGGAGGAAGAAGTGCTCAGGTAGGGGAGGGGTGTGGTCTGAGTTTTCTCGTCCCACTGCAGAGTTTCAAGCCCAGCTAGAAGTTTGCCTGCCTCCTTAATGGGAAGTCCCATCCACAGTCACATGTGCTTTCCTCATCTGGAGCCCTATTTGCTAACACTTACTCTTTAATAAAGCACGTATGAAAATGGAGGACAAATTTATCACCTTGGTGAGTCTGGTGATGGGGACCTCATTCTTAGCAGTCACAGGACAGAGGGGGAGGTCCCTGCTGAGGACAGGCATCCAGGAGGGTGGTTGGTCCAGTCCCCACACATGTACTTTCCTCATGTTTCCTGATCCTGCCCTGGGTCTGTAATCCCATACTGGAAACTTCTGTGGGATACAGGACTAGGGGGTTCTTTTAGTACCTCATGGCCCTGCGTTTTTCTTTGCTTCTCACAGCATGTTTTCTTCTCACAGGTAGAAAAGCGTAGAGCTACTCTCAGACTGCAGGTAAGGATGGACGGGGGTTGATCCCTCAGACCTTTGGGATAGTGTAGACAGGAGCCCATGGGGGGAGCTCACCCATCCGGTAGTTCCTCCTTTAGTCTCATCTCCTGTGGACTCTGACCATGTCCTGTTTTGTTGTACTCCACACAGCGACAGTGCCCAGGGCTCTAAACTGTCTGTCAAGACAGGTGAGAGTCTCGCGGCCTGACGTGAGGAGGGGTTGGGGCAGAGGGGAGAGGACAGGGTTATGGAGATTCTTTGGCTGGGGCATTTTGAGCATTTGGTGGGCTGTTCAGAATGTCACCAGTTACAGTGACTGACTCAAATTTGTTCATGCTTATTTTCTTCCATAGCACAGGACAACTGCCTTGTGGGAAGTGAATGATGCAAGATTTGTTCCCGTCCTACCTGCCATTGTGACTTCTAGAACGTTTGACTTTTGTTTCTGCAAAGGGTGCCTGAATATGTCTGCATTCCTATTAACATAGTGTGAGGAAGTGGGTAGACTGGTCTCCCCCGTGACCCCCTCCCACACTGACCTGTGTTCTCTTCCCTGATTGACTTTCCTGTTCCAGCAGAGGTGGGTCTGGGCCATCTCCATCCCTGTCTTTACTTCATGTTGCCCTGAGCTGCAGCTTCTTACTTCTTAATTGCAAATAAAGATCTGTATACAAGTTTGTTTTTTCAAATTCTTGCCATGAAGGATTGATAGGTTAATTAAATAACAGTTCTAAAATTTAGGAGAGGAAATAAATGGAAGCAATGAGAACCTTCCAGAATTCTTGTGTTCGCTGTGCTGGTTCTGTTGCAGGTGGGGACAGGAGAAGGCTGTGAGGAGCCGAGTGTGGATGGGGCCTGTGTCCACTCAGTGCGCAGTGCATCGTGGGCTTTGACATGGTCACTCCTAGGCTGGGTCATCCCTCTGCTCCTTTCTTCTTGTCGCTTCAGTAGAACCTTGTCCCATGAGGACCTGTGATCACAGGGACAGGGACATCACCCAGGCCTTGTTGTGTCTCCAGGAGACTGTGGGCAGTGGGGCTTCAGGTGGTCTTGTCAGCCTAGGCTCAGGTCTGGGTCCAGCCCTCAGCCCCTGTCTTTTGGGTGTTTACTTGTTGTTTCTTTGTTTCTGTAGAGGATTGTGCCTGTTCTTGTTCTTGTGTATGAGTTCATGTCTCATTCTCTTCTAGGTGCCTCCTGTCTCTGACGGCAGCAGGGGTCCTTTGGCCTGTCGTTGTCCCCACAGGACCAGGCAGCCCTGCACACAGGCATCTGGTGTCCAGAGATGAGTTTGCAGACTGGTCCAGCTCTGTTCTCCTTTGAGGGCTTGATTGTCATTTCCACCTTTCCCCAACCTCTCAAAGGAGCGAGATTCTGGAATGATCAGAGAAGTGGGATCCCATAATTTCTCATCCTAGATGAGTTCATGTTGGGATTCTTCTCCTCTGCAGCCTGCCATCTCTCTCGGACGTTAGCTCCAGTCATCCTAGTGCTGGCTCCAGTCCAAATGCACGATTTAAAAGCAGAGTCTACTTTAGATTTATATTTGGTTGGAAAATAGCATCCATAGGTCAAGGATCATTGTTTTTTGAAGAGAGAAATGTAATTGTGTGCTGTGGTGTGCAGGAGGGTTGGTGTGGGAGGGAGAGATGGAGCAGGGGAGGGGAGAACAGTACTTGTGAGAAAAGTACAGGCGGCATTGATGTCAAGGTGAGTGTACATTGTGCTGTAGCTGCCACAAAACAGCATGTGGTCTGAGGTTACATTAATAAAGATACTATATTTAGAATAGGGAGGTGCTCTACACTGATCATTCATTCAATAGAAATTGGTTGTGTGCTGGATGTATGACACACTATTTTTGCAACTGGGAAAAATCGTTGAAGTGAAAAAAGAATACTTGCTGGCCTTGTGGAACATATGCTCTAGTGGGAAGAGACAGACTATATGCTATAAACATAGTGAATAAGGAAAATGTTTATGATAGAAGGTGGTAAGTGCTATGGCAAAAATGCACTGGGGAAGACGATCCAGAGGGTAGTGGTGGGCACAGGGAAGATGGCTGTTTTAATTTGGGTGGTCAGTGGGGGCCTCACTGGGAAGGTGCTTTGAAGAAAGATGTGAAGGACATGAGGAATTATCCACGAGGATGTCTGGGGGAAGTTCTTTCCAGGTGGGGGAACCTCCAGTGCAGATGCGCTAGGACAGGAGTGTGTCTGTGTTTTCTGGGAAGAGCGAGGAGGCCAGTATAGATGGAACAGAGAGTAATCGACATGAGATAGAGGTGTGGCCAGACCATAAAGGCCTGGAGGATGTTAGAAGAGTTTGCGCCTCTGCTCTGAGTGAGATGGGGAGTTACACGACAGTTTAGAGCAGGAGAGGGACGTGGTATGACATCTCCTTTAGAGGATCACTGTGGCTGCTGTGCTGAGAGCAGAACTGGGAGGCAAAGGGCGAGGGAGGCCCTAGGGAGGCAGCAGGAACCAGGGCAGGGTTCCAGGCTGGAGGTGGCCACGGCTTCTGCTGGTGTGAGGGGTGGAAAGAGTGGGAAGTGACTGCATCTGGATACATCCTGAATATGGACCTTGCAGCATTTCCTAATGGATTAATCTGGGGAATGCAAAAGTCATGGAGGCCACCCAGAATTTCAGGTTGTGCAAGTAGAAAGATGGAGTTGCTGTCAGCAGACCTGGGGAAGACTATGGAAGGAGCATGTTTGAGAGAAACATTATGAGCATTTGGTTTGAGATGTTGGAGCTGAGATGTCTATTAGAAAAACAAGTGAGATAGAAGGTTGGCAGTTGGATAGATGAGTCTGGAGATTAGGAGAAATGTCTGGGCTGTAGAAATAGATTAGGGAAGTGACTCCATATAAATGATATTCAAAGACTTAAGAACAGATGAGATCACTAAGGGAGTGATGGCTATAGATGAGAAAAGAACGAGGACCGAACTCTGGACCCCCCAGTGGTAAGGGATCTGATCAGACCACACACCCAGGGCAGAGTGCACAGTTCTGACACTCTGTTCAGAAGGCACGGAGACCAGGAAGAACAAAACTTTCCTGTGCACAGGAATCCCCTGGACATCTCGTTAAGATGCAGAGAGTTTGGAGTACAACTGGAGAGCACAGAGTCTGGAGATTCTGTGTTTATAACAAGGTCAGTGCTGATGCTGCTGGTCTTCAGACAATATATTTAGTAGCAAGAATGTAGACTAGGATTCTCTCAACAGCCTCAGGGCATCAGCCTCATGTGTAGGGCTTCTTAAATAAGCGATTATTTGGTGGATACTCTGAGATGGTGGGTCTTGGAGAGGTCTGAGTATTTTGTAAGAAGCCCCACAGCAATGCTGGTGCTCAGCCCTCGTCACTGGGCTCTTTCTAGTGACAGCCCCCATCCTCAAGCTATCTGGGACACCTCAGCCATCTCATTAGCATACCAAAGTCACTCTCATCACTCAGGAGATTCCAAGGGTTTTAGGAGCTCTATGCCAGGAACCAGGGACAAAGACTTTTATTATACCACAGGACACCCCCTAGTCTTCGACTACATCCCCCTTATATCAAAAGGATCGGTAATGGTTAAAATATGCTGGCAAGTTACTAGAGCCCCATTCAGTCATTAACATTTAGTCCAGTCCATCATCCTATTGTATGAGAATGTCTCGCAGAGTGAAGTCACTCAGCTTTGCAGGCTTCCTTTCCATCTTGTCTGGTTCCAGAAGCAGAAATGGTCTCAGCAATATATGGCTTCACACATTCAGGCATCTGGATAATTGAGCTAAGAGACAATATCATCTCTTGCTCAGACCTCTTTTGAGGTGTTAATGTAATATTGGGTTTCTTTCATTACATAAAACGTCTATTCATTCCTTTACCCTCATCTGGTATTTCTATTCTCCATTTTTACCAAACGTCTATATCTTTGGAAAGAACATTAGGTTTGCTTGCTGTGCTACAGGCGGCAATACTAGTCTAGCCATCCCTCTCCCTCAGTCCACTCCCATTCATAGAAGAGAGGGTCCCATAGATACAGAACTAGTAGGCTGACCACAAGGAAATATAGCCGTCATTCACTGTCACCTCATTCACTGTCAGATGGGGTGAAGGCAGGAACTTCCTCCTTTAGGTCCTTAGGAATTCTGACATAGGGGTTTAAAAATATAGTTACAATTTCTTGCTTAGGAATCATTCCTGTTTCTGGCACTTGTCATTGCATCTCTGTCCTGAGACCACTGCATTGGCTAGGAAAAAAGAAAGTGGCGTAGAGATATAATCATACTAACTTCCTCTCCACTTGGGAAAAATAAGATTGCATAGCATCCTCCCCACTCCTCCTCCCCAGATCCTCCAGGGAAGAGAGAGGAAACACAGTGACTGCAAAGAAGATGTTGTCTGCTCACCTTGGAGCTGCTATCCATAAACCAAGCAGCTCTGTGTAGGTCAGTTGAGAGGTGTTTATAGGACATTGTCCAAGTGACGATAGAATCCAGCAGCTCCTCATGCAGTTCCAAAGTCAGATGTAGGACAAAAGAGGCTCCCTGCTCGTGTGTGTATCCTTCCTGCATTTCCCTGGTAGCATGATCCTGTATAAACCATTTCCACTTTTTAATGGAACTCTTCCGGGCACTGTCCTCTCTATGAGTGTTTCTCCGACATTTTCCAAGACAACGTGGGTATTTCACATTCGAGATTATTTTATGTCTTTCAGTCATAAGGGCAGTTTCAATTAATGTCCAGTAGGAATCTAGTAACTGCCCCTCGAATTGAACTTCTCTAGTTCAGATCATCACTGGGAGATGCTCAGGGGCCTTTGCCAGAGCTCCAGTGCCCGCTCCACCCAGGGCTCTTGTGCAGAGAGTGTGTCTGCACTGCACTCCAGCTTCTGTTCTACACTGTTTGGTTTCCACTGAGCATGTCCAGTTAATATTGCTTGAAGGATGGATTTACATGCCTTCTGTTTTACAATAGTAGTTAGAGAATGTGTTCCCATGTCAGACATATCCATTCCCACGAAACATTCAGGTAAAGGAGACACAACCTCTTCACTTAAAGCCTGTTTAAACATTCCATTTTCATCCTGATTTTCACCTTAATCCTATCAACACTTACATTTCTATATTCTCTCAACCTAATTGTAGCCTATGGTAGGGCTTCATCGAGAGGTTTTGGTGCCACAGTGCTTGGGGCTCCTGTGTAAAGGAGTCCTGGACACTTCTCTCTCCACCCCTGACCCTTTCACCCATTCTGTGTACAAGGCTCTGGATACCCTTTAAAGGATCAAGCCACACTACGTTGGTCATTAGTCATCTTTAGCTTGATTAATCTGCCTGCCTGTTGCAGGTCAGGGTTCTCATTGTGAGTTTTGTCTTCCTGCTTTTTAAATTCCTCCAAACTGGCGTAAATGGAGCCATGTTGTTTGGGGTCCTTTAATGTTGGACCAGCAAGGGGTCCCTTCGGTTCGCCCAACCTTCAGTTGTGCTGCGTTAAGACCTTTGTTTTATCCTCATCAATGTTTGCTTTATTAATTACATTGCTTAATAATCATTTGTGTTAGGGTTCTCCAGAGAAACAGAACCAATAGGCTATATATGAACCAATAGGGTACATATAATATGATATAAGGAATTGGCTCGTGTGATTATGGAGGCTGAGAAGTCCTTTAATCTACCCTCTGCAAGCTGGAGACCAAGGAAAGCCAGTGACGTAATTCAGTTTGAGTCTGAAGTCCTGAGAACACAGGAGCCAATGGTGTAAAAAAGTCCCATTCTGAGGGCAGAGGACCGACATTCCAGCTCCTGCAATCAGGCACAAAAAAGGAGTAAATTCTCCCTTCCTCCACTTTTTGTTCTGTTCAGGCCATGAGTGGATTGGATGATGCCCACCGACACTGGGCAGGGCAGTCTGCTTTACTGAGTCTGCTGATTCACATACCAATCTCATCTGGAAACACCTTCACAGACACACCCAGAAATAATGTTTAGCCAAATATCTGGCACCCTGTGACCCAGTCAGGTTGACATATAAAATTAACCATCACAAGTCCATCGGTTGTCAACCTAGCACTGATGAGCATCTCCTTAATCCATACTTAATCTCCAAATAAGGACAATAACAAGGTCGTCATTTCACTTAACATGATTTAAGTATCCTGGGTACAACTGAAAGTGCTCTGACATCTTCCCTAGAAGAGGAGGTAAAGTCCTTGAGTGATGTTTATTCTTCTCCTTGTAAATACCATGATGTAAAATTAACAGTACTTAAAGCCTATGACATAAAATCAATACATCTTATGCTACATGATAAGGGAATGAGAGGAAAGAAAACTAAGGTATTATACACACACACATACACAACCTTTTCATTATTCATAGCAAAATAAGAAGGAAATACTAATGACAATTCCAGTCCTTGTTTCTTTGACTGATTACATGGTTATAGCTGGTAATTAAAACTGCCTTCTGCTATCTGCTCTGTTCTTCCTTTGCCTTCAGTAAGCACTTCAGCTGGTCATGGTCCTTTTCCTGGTAGGCTCACCCAAACCTTCCTTTTGAAGGGTCTGGACCATTAGTATTCCTGCTCAATGGGGATTTTATAATTTTCCATTTTCCTTGAGCACAGGGCATGGTAAAACTAAAATATGCCCTCAGTGTTCTCCTGTGTTCCAGACATACCCTTTCTTACCTCCATTGTGGAACAGTAGTCCAATTTCCCCTTGGTAATCAGGACTGATCTCCTCACCCAGCACCATAACTCCCTTCTTTGCCTGTTGATTCAGAAGCATAAGGAGACCAAAGTGGCCAGATGGAAGTCTCAGGTTCCAGCTCAATGGAATCTTTGTTGTGTCTCCTGGTGGAAGCACTCCCCCTTCTGAATTAAGACCTCTAGGCCAGCAGAGCATAAAGTTGTGGGAACAGGAGGCAAAAATTTTGCTAATGGGTCACTAGGAGTAATAGTGAGTGTTGCTATTCCCATTACCACCAGTTGGTTCCTAGACCTGTGAAGCCTGGCTATGGGAGAAACAGCACCATATATTGGATGCTGATTCAGAGCATATAAGCCATCTGGAGAGCCTTGCCTCAGCCCTGCAAAGTATTGCAACCTAGCTGGTGCTATCACTGGGTCTTCAAAAGGCCATTCCACCATTCTACCAAACCAGAATTGTGGGGAATGTGGTAAAACACCTGAATTCTGTGAGCGTGGGCCCATTACCACACTTCTTTTGCTGTGAAATGAGTTCCCTGATCAGAAGCAATGCTGTGTGAAATACCATGGTGGTGGATAGGGCATTCTGTAAGTCCTCAGATGGTAGTTTTGGCAGAAGCAGTCTTTGCAGAAAAGGCACATCTGTATTGAGAGTAACTGTCTATTCCAGTAAGGATGAAATGTTACCCCTTCCATGATGGAAGCAGTTCAATATAATCAACCTGCTACCAGGAAGCTTGATGGCACCCCAGGGAATGGTGCCATATCAGTACTCAGTGTTGGTCTCTGCTGCTGGCATATTGGGCACTCAGCAGTGGCAGTAGCCAGCTCAGCCTTGGTGAGTGGAAGTCCATGTTTCTGACCCCATGCATAACCTTCATCCCTGCCACTATGGCCTCTTTGTTTATGACCTCATTGGATGATTATGGGGGTGGCTGGGGAAAGGGGTTGACAGGTATCTACAGAATGGGTCATCCTATCTACTTGATTATTAAAATCCTCCTCTGCTGAGGTCACCCTTTGGTGAGCATTCACATGGGATACAAATATCTTCACATTATTTACCCATTCAGAGAGGTCTACCTACATACCTCTTCCTCAAATTTCCTTGTCACCAATTTTTCAATCACGTTCCTTCCACATCCCATCCAGGCAAACCATTGACTACAGCCCAGGAATCTGTATACACTTGCATATCTGACCATTTCTATTTCCAAGTGAACAACCAGGTGACTTCTTGAAATTCTGTCCTCTGGGAGGGTTTCCCTTCACTGCTGTCCTTCAGGGATGTCCCAGAAAAGGCCTTTGTAGTGCTGCAGCTGTCCACTTTTGGGTGGTATCTGCATATTGTGCAGAACCGTCTGTAAACCAGGCCTGAGTCTTCTCTTCCTCTGTCAACTGATTGTAGGGAACTCCCCATCAAGCTATAGGTGCAGGCTGCGACAGAGAAGGTAGTGTAGCAGGACTTTGTAAGGTAGTGGGGACCATGGGTTTTGGACTCCTTGTTCATTTAACCTAGTTGTGTCCTCAGCACCTGCTCATGCCTAATTGTGTATATACCGCTTCCATTTGATGATAGAGTGCTGCTGTGCATGTCCAACTTAATGGCTTGGTGAATCAAATAACACCCTTTTCATGATGGGCAACTCAGGTTGCATAGTAACTTGGTGGCCCATGGTTCTGTGTTCAGTCTCTACTAAGGAACAGTAGCAGACCAAGAGCTGTTTCTCAAAAGGAGGTTAGTTATCTGTAGAGGATGGCAGGGCTTTGCTGCAAGATCCTAAGGGGCTGCACTGTGATTCACCTGTAGGGACCTGCCAAAGGCTCCAACCAGCTTGCGTACCTGCTACTGACACTTCAAGCACCACTGGACCTGCTGGATCATATGGTCCAAGAAGCAGAGCACCTTTCACAGCAGCCTAGACCTGTTGCAGAGCCTTCTCTTATTCTGGGCCCCACTCAAAACTGGCAGCTTTTCAGGTCACTTTGTAAATGGGCCAGAATAACACACCCAAATGAGAAATACGTTGCCTCCAAGATCCAAAGAGGCCCACTAGGCATTGTGCTCCTTTTGGTTGTAGGAGGGGCCAGATGCAACAACTTATCCTTCACCTTAGAAGGGAGATCTTTTTTTCCCCAATTCTACTGACATACAATTGACTATAACATTGTATGAGTTTAAGGTGTACAGTGTGATGATTTGATACATGTATGTATTGAAAAATGATGACCACAAAAGGGTTAGTTAACATCTCCATCACCTGATATAATCACCTTCCTTTTTTTGGTATTGGGAACATGTAATTTACTCTCTTAGCAACTTTCAAGTATATAATATAGTATTGTTAAGTATAGTCACCATGCTGCACATTAGATCCTCAGAGCTTATTCAGTTTATAGCTGGAAGTTTGTTTCCTTCACCAACATGTCACCATTTCCCCCACCCCCATCCCCTGGCAACTACCATTCTACTCTCTGTTTCTGAGTTTGGCTTTTTTAGATTCCGCATGTAAGTGAGATCATACAGTATTTGCTTTTCTCTGTCTCACTTCTTTCATTTACCATAATGCCCTCAAGGTCCATCCATACTGTCGTAAAGGTGAGATTTCCTTCTTTCACAGGGCTGAATATTATTCCATTGTATTTATGTCCACACCACATCTTTATCCATTCATCCACGGAAGGACACTAAGACTGTTTCCACGTGTTGGCTATTGTGAATAATGCTACAGGGAACTTGGGAGAGTAGAAATCTCTTTGAGATCCTGATTTCATTTCCTTTGGATATATACCCCAAATTGGGCCTGCCTAGTCAGATGCTAGTTCTATTTTTAATTTTTTGAGGAATGTTCATACTGTTTTCCATAATGGCTGTACCAGTTTATAGTCTCATCGACAGTGCACAGGGATTACCTTTTCTCCACATCCTCACCAAGACTCATCTCTTGTCTTTTTGATAATAGTCATTCTAATCAGTGTGAGGTGATATGTCTTTGTGGTTTTTATCTGCATTTCCCTAATTAGAGAGGTGGAGCATCTTTTCATGTACCTTTTGGCCATTTGTATGTCTTTTCTGGAAAAATGTCCATTCAGGTTCTCTGCCCATTTTCTTCCTTCCTTCCTATCTTTTTTCATTTTTTTTAAAGATTGGCATCTGAGCTAACATCTGTTGCCAATCTTCTTCTTCTTCTCCTGCTCCTCCTCCTCCTCCTCCTCCTCCTTCTTCTTCTCCTCCTCCTCCTCCTGCTCCTGCTCCTCCTCCTTCTTCTCCTCCTTCTCCTTCTCCCTCTTCTTCTTATTTTTTTCTTCTTCTCCCCAAGGCCTCTCAGTACATAGTTGTATATTCTAGTGGTATGTCCATCTGGTTCTGCTATGTGAGATACCACCTCAGCATGGCTTCACGAGTGATGCTAGGTCCATGCCCAGGATCTGAACCGGCAAAACCCTGGGCCGCTGAAGCAGAGCACATGAACTTAACCACTCAGCCATGGGGCTGGCCCCTCTGCCGTTTTCCAGTCTGACTTTTTTTCTTTTGCTATTGAGTTGCATAAGTTCTTTCTATATTTTGATATTAATCCATATCAGATAGATGGTTTGCAGATATTTTCTTTCATCCCGTAGGTTGCCTTTTCATTTTGCTGATTGTTTCTTTGCTGTGTAGAAGCTTTTTAACTTGATGTAGTCCCACATATTTATTTTTGCTTTTGTTGCTTTTGCTTTGGTGTCATATTTAAAAAATCATTGCCAAGACCAGTGTTAAGAAGGTTTTCCTCTATGCTTTCTTCTAGGAGTTTTACAGTTTCAAATCTTACATTTAAGACTTTAATCCATTTTGAGATAATTTTTGTGGGTGACATAATTTATGGGTCCATTCTTCTGAGTGCGACTATTTAGTTTTTCCAACAATATTTGTTAGAGAGACTATGCTTTCCCACTGAGCATTCTTGGCTTTCTTATCAAATATTAGTTGACCATATACATATGTGAGGGTTTATTTTTGGGCTCTTGATTCTGTTCCATTGGTCCATGTGTCTATTTTTATGCCAGTACTATGCTGTTTTGATTACTATAGCTTTGTAATATAGTTTGAAATCAGGAAGTGTGATGCCTCTAGCTTTGCTCTTTTTTCTTAGGATTGCTTTGACTATTTGGGGTCTTTTGTGGTTCCATACAAGCCTTAGGATTTTTTTTTCCATTTCTGTGAATAGAATTTTAGCATTTTGATAGGCATTGTACTGAATCTGTATATTGCTTTGGGTGGTATGGACATTTTAACACTATTAATTCTTCCAGTCCAGCAACATGGGATAGCTTCCCATTCATGTGTGTTTTCAGTTTTTTCCATCAAAATCTTATAGTTTTCAGTGTGCAGGTTTTTCATTTCCTATTGTAAATTGGATTGTTTAATTTATTTCTTTTTCAGATATTTTCTTGTTTGTATATAGATATGCAACTGATTTCTGAATACAAAAGTCAGTCGTTGTCTTATATAGCAACAAGAACAAATGGAATTGGAAATTAAAAACACAAAACTATTTACCTTAGCATCCACCCCAAATGAAAATTTAGGTAAAAATCTAACAAAACATGTATATGACCTATATGAGAAAAATCACAAACCTCTGATGTTAAAGAAGAGCTAAATAAGTGGAGAAGTATTCCATGTTCATGGATAGGAAGATATCAATATTCCCAGTTTTTCAAGATGTCAGTTCTTCTCAAATTGATGTATAGGTTCAGTGCAATCCCAATAAAAATCCCAGCAAGTTATTTCGTGGGTATCAACAAAATGATTCTAAAGGTTATACAGAGAGGCAAAATATCCTAATAGCCAACACAATATTGAAGGATAAGAAGAAATTTGGAGGACTGACACTACTTAACTTCAAGACATTGTAAACCTACAGTAATCAAGACAGTGTGGTGTTGGTGAAATAATAGGTAAATAGATCAATGGAACAGAATAGAGAGCCTAGAATAGACCCACATAAATATAATCTACTGATCTTTGACGGGTAGCAAGGCAATACAATGGAGCAAAGACAATCTTTTCAACAAATGTTGCTGTAACCACCGGATGACATCCACGTGCAAGAAAATGAATCTAGACCCAGATCTTACACACTTCACAAGAATTAACTAAAAATGGATTATAGACCTAAAGGTAAAATGCAAAACTATAAAACTCCTAGAAGATAACGTGGGAGAAAATCTTGATGACCTTGGGTATGGTGATGACTTTTTAGACACAAAACCAAAGGTGCAATTTATGAAAAAAGTGATAAACTGGACTTCATTAAAATTAAAAATTTCTGCTCTGTAAAAGACAACATCAAGAGAATGAGAAGACAAACCACAGACTAGGTGAAAATATTTGCAAAAGACACATCTGATAAAGGTCTGTTACCCAAAATATCCAAAAAAGTCTTAAAATTCAACAGTAAGAAAACAACCTGAATGAAAAATGGGTCAAGTATTTTAACAGTGATACCTATCAAAGAAGATATACAGGTGGCAAATAATCATATGAAAAGATGCTACACATCATGTTAGCAGGGAAAAGCAAAACAACCATGAGGTACAACTACACACCTTTTAGAGTGGTCAAAATACAGAACATTGACAACACCAAGTGCTGGTAAGGATGTGGAGCAACAGGAACTGCATACACAGAAACATGACCCCAAACCACACACAAGGGAAGTGACCCCTGTCCTTTCAGCCCCAGGTCCAGATCTGAAAGAGTTCAGGTTTCCCATTTCAGGTGATAATACAGCAGGTTGGAAAGAAGTACCAGATACAGACAAGAAAAATAGAAGCAGAGAGGGAGATTTAAGGAAATGAGTGACAATTTGAAATGGGGTGATTAGGTAGGTGAAATTTGAGCAAGTCTTGAAAGAGGTGAGGAGCTTGGCCAGGCAGTTAACTGGGGAAGAGTGTTTTGCTGGGATCGTCCTTTGCCCACACCTGGGCTCACACTGGGGTGGGCACTATAGCTGCAGCGGAACTGAAGCCATGACTTCCTGGAAGAGAGTGGAGATCTGGATTTCTGTATCCTGACCAAGTCACTGCCTGGGGCTTCCTGGCATGGAGGTTGCTGGGAAAGAAGAGAAGCTGAGGTG